GAAATTAGCGTTTGTTTTGCTAATGTAGCGTTAGCTAGTGCAGCAGCTCCCGCAACAACACCGGGGGACCTCCGGGCGAAGTTTGGGTCTACGTCAACCCTAAAAGCAGAGGTGCTGTAGACGCTAAATACCGTAGCTAAACACCAATCATACAACAGCAACGATGAAAGATTGTAGCCAAGACAGCAGAGCTCTGAATATAACACACACACACACACACACACACACACACACACACGATTATGGCAAAAATCATAATCACGATTATTTTGGTCAATAATTGATATCACGATTATTAAATACGATTATTCATTGACTTTGAAAACATCAATTTATTGAACTTTAAAACAAATAATAATTTGAACAGTATCTTTTTAACTGTTGATTACCCTGAACGTATAATTCAACTGAAAAACCAATACAAAAATAAATAAATGATTTATTTAAATAAATAATATTAAAATAATAAATACCAATAAACAAGATCAACAAATATTTTGGAGCGCACTTCCACAAGCTACTAAACATATAAATATGATAAATAAAAATAAATTACACTAAAATTAATTAGATCAAATATGTTGTAGTGCACTGTCACAACCTAGCAAAGCTAAATAATAGTTATTTTCGATTATGTGGTTTTTGTAATTGTGGCAGGCCAAAATCGTAATTGCGATTAAAATACGATTAATTGCACAGCCCTAACACACACACAAGCACACACAGACACACACACTTTGTGGCTAACACAGTTCTGTACTGTTATGCTGTTATGTTCAGTCATTGTTCTTATGTTGAACATGAATACATTTACTTTGCAAGTAATTATGGGACAAGAGAGAATGCACCAGACAGCATCTAAGACCTGCAAAAACCTAAATGTTGTAATCTAGGGGGAGGCCCCCCAAACCCTCCGTTCAACATTTCGTCCGCGCGCATTTTTCAGGGCAATCTCTATTGGGCTCAGGGGTCATCTGTAAATTAGCTTATGGCACATTTCCACTGCAGCGGGGTAGCCCCGTTTAAGCGTCCCTAAGCGTCCTCGCTCAGGCCTCGGGCTGCCTCGCTGGCCGTCCGAGGCCATGGCGCATTTCCATTACAGTTTAGGACCTGGGGTAGCAACGCAGTGTAATCGGCAATCGGCTTTTTTTTTCACATTTCGAGTTGTTCCGTCGAGCTCCCGCTGGATTTTATCATCCCCAATGAGATGTAGGAACTTCGTCACCTCCTCGGTCGACCACGGTGTGCTTTTCTTTGACGTTGCCATTTTTGTAGCTCCTCCGTTTACAAAAATGCTGTGTATAAAAATGCTGCAAGCTTGCTTCTAGATTTATATGCGACACTAGCGATGATCTTGCGCGCGATCTTGTGACGATTCTCTCTGACCAATCAGCAGTCGAGAGTGTTGACGTCACTAGTTCGGCCCTGCCTGATAGAACCACGATTTTATGGGGCTGGAAAAAGAGGGGGAAAGTACCCGCTAGCCGGTGCTACGCTATATGGAAAGGCCACCAAAAACTGGCCTGGCCGCTTGAGGACGATTAAGGACGCTTAAACGGGGCTACCCGCTGCAGTGGAAATGCGCCATTAGATTGCCCACAGGGCCATCTCCCAAAATCCTTAATGTCATGCACTGATTACATTGACGATTTTAATCAAAACTTAACTCTCTCAACTTGTAAGATAACGTTAGTTAAGTTAACTTACCCTTAAATAACTACATCACGTTTTTCAGGGGCAACAAACTGCAGAAAACGTTAGCTGCTAACTGTTGTAGCTAAGACAGCTAGCTTTTGTTAAGGGAAGTAACAATAGCCTTTTAGCAAACTTAAAGTTAAATTAACATTAACGTAACGTTGTAAGAAAGCAAAACGAACCTTCGAGAAAGCTTTTACTCTCAGACTGGGGGAAATTGTGTAGCGTTGCTTACCTCCAGGAGGACTTGGAGCCGCCTCAGTGAGAGCTGCCAGAGCGGTTCCTCTCAGCAGCTGCAGCTGGGCGGAGTCACACAAACGGCTCGACCGATCTTCACCCCGCGACCGTTCGCGCCAGTTAAACGCTGTGCTTAAAGGTGGGGTACGTTTCAGAAACCGGCTCGAGTGCACTAACATTTGAAAGTACACAGCCGAAAAGAATCCGCCCCTTCCTTCAGACTTCCTTACAGAGCACCTCCTCCAACACACATGAACGCGCACATGACGTCAGCAGACTGGTGAAAGTGGCCGCCTGCTGCTGCAATGCACGCCCATTGACCGCACGAGATACATTTGTGCGTGCACGAGATGGAAGGCTGACAGACAGGACGGCAATCCAATCCGTTTAGCCGGCCCGGCTAAACGGATTGGTTGTACTTTTTACAGTATTACGGCTTCCACAGATTACATTTTTTTATGGATTTGTTGTTGTCAACGCACTTCAGATATTCATTGCTATCGGGATGTTAAGAGCATTCCATGGAATATAACAAAAAGTGTATCTCGAGCCGGTTTCTCAAATGTACCTACCCCACCTTTAAACCACTGCTGTCTCGCCGTTCCTCTGTGTCCCGCCTGTAGGGGAGAGTGGGGTAAATTGAGCCATTTTTAAGTTATGCTGTCCTCTAAGCAAGGAGAAATGACACATAGTAAAAATGAAAACACACACCTATAATTCAGGATGTCTCCTATCAATGGCAATGATAATAATTAATATTTGATCAAGGGCAGTGAAAATATTACTTCTTTAAAAAAAAGTATTGTGGCTCAACTTGCCCCAGTGTAGGGGTAAGTTGACCCAGGTCAGGGGGAAATTGAACCACTGTTCAAACCTGGGCATACCTGTTCAAACCTGGGCATACCTGTTCAAACCTGGGCATACCTGTTCAAACCTGGGCATACCTGTTCAAACCTGTGCATACCTACAACAAATCTTAAAGGTAACTATAAACAATAAATAACAAACCAAATACAAGCTTAGTTTTTCAAATATTTTTAATATAAATTTCGATTGAATTTGATTGATTTTTTTTTAACATGTTAAAAGGAAAAGTAATCATACATACATCTTACCAATCAAAGACAGGATAAAATCAACTTTAAATGTAGCCTACAATGAGCTCTTATTATCAACTTGGCCTACTTTCATTCATTTCTCCATTGAAAAACTGGCTCAACTTACCCCAAGGTCCATGGTTCACTTCACCCCATAGCCACCATTTTAGAAAAATAGCCTAGTATTAAAATTCAGAGTAATCTTTGACTTAATGATTCACATGGTGTAATACGCTGCCAACACATCAACAAATACAATATATGTGTTTAAACCTGGAAACTTTTTTTTTGACATGACAGCCCATATAGCTAACATCTAGAAAATGTACTTTGACAAGCAAAAAACGTTTTTTTCTAAACATGTTTACTTACTAGAACACAATGAGGATCTCTCTTTCACAGACAATGAGAAATGGGATTAGCTTGCATAATTTCTGGTAACTTGATTACAACTATAAGGCATTGCCTGGTTACAGGGGGTGGTTCAATTTAACCACTGGCTCAATTTACCCCCTTCTCCCCTAATGTTCGTATTGGTTATAAATGTATCGTCTTGAATCTTTACTTGCCACTTTATTAGCCAACATGCAGTACACACGCCTCCCTCACTTCTATGTCTCTATAAAGAGACGTCCAATAATGATGACAGGAGGCACAGCAGCCCTCTGTCTGATGGACAGATGTGTTCATGACGACTTATATATTTACTTTTAATTCATTCACAGTGCGGTATAATGAGACAATAACAGGCTACAGATGAGGTATATACAATTTCAGAATCAAACAAGTATGAGAGCACTCTCTTAATAACGTAACACGATCAGAGACTGGAGATATATATAAAGTACTTCTTATCTTATATTAGCAATAAACATCACAGCAAATCCAAATACTTTTATTCTGAAGGCCACACCGGAAGCCAGTGACGCTGGTGCAGAGAATAAAGCTCACCATTGTAACAGCTAATAAAACGGTTTGAATTGTAACAGAGTATTCCTACACTCTTATATTTTCTCTTGTATTTCTACTTTTACTTAGGTACAAGATCTGAGTATTTTTCCTACCGCTGCCAAATACTGGAAAGCATCCCATAATGACCGGGCTAAAGCATCCCATAATAACCGGGCTAAAGCATCCCATAATGACCGGGCTAAAGCATCCCATAATAACCGGGCTAAAGCATCCCATAATGACCGGGCTAAAGCATCCCATAATGACCGGGCTAAAGCATCCCATAATGACCGGGCTAAAGCAGTCCAAAGGATGGATTTGAAGCAGAGATGCAGTTAGCAGACCTGTCAATCAAACAGTAAGCTCCACCTGAGCAGACAGGGAGCAGACTGCAGATTAAACAAACACACCCTCCTTCCCTGCCTGCTGCACCATGGGACCCACACACACACACACACACACACACACACACACACACACACACACACACACACACACACACACACACACACACACACACACACACACACACGCACACACACACACACACACACACACACACTGCACATGTAGACTGTGTTCATAATGCTTCACTGGATCAGTACCAAGGTTGTGTTGAGGTTGAAAATACATAATGTATGGAAGATATATGCCAACACTCACGTATGTGTATAGTACACTCCTGTGTGTGTGTGTGTGTGTGTGTGTGTGTGTGTGTGTGTGTGTGTGTGTGTGTGTGTGTGTGTGTGTGTGTGTGTGTGCGTGTGTTTGTGTATGTGTGTATATGTGTGTGTGGGTGTGTGTGTATCTATACAGTATTCATTTAAATCAGAATCAGAATATAAATAATGCACAGTATTTAATTGTTAGCAATTGTCTACTCTCTTCTGACCTTTGACACTAAATACAAATTGATAATTGATAAATGAACCCTCTTTGAATAATATCGTTGATGAGCTTTTATTTTGAAAGCCGCGACAGCCACGCAACAACTGATAGACTCTTATTCTGAAGGCCACCGGAAGCCGTTGACGCTGAAATATCTTCATCACATCAGAAAACGCTAGTGGTGTTTAGAAGATTTAAATGATGAATTTAAAACAGATTTGTTAAGTTTCTGACTTGTAGATATGATTTAATTTGATAACGAAGCTGACTCTGGTAAACGACATGCCGGAAACTAAGCATTTAACTTGTTTATCGGTTGCCTGACAACGGAGAGAAAAGGTAAACAAACCCGGCTAACAGCTAACCCATGCTAATCAGCTAAAGGAGGCTAAAGACACGATTTGTTGTTGTGTTGATTCAACAGTTAGTGGCAGCTGCTAACAGAGGAGCAAAGTAACGAAGTACATTTACTCAAGTACTCTATTTAAGTACAATTTTGAGGTACTTGTACTTCTACTCCACTACAGTTCAGAGGTAAATTGTGTACTTTTCCTCCACGACATGTATTTAATACCTTTAGTTACTTCTCAGATGTGGATGAATGATGTGAAATCTAACCAAGTGTTGAATCAGACTTTAGTTCCACCTGGAGTAAATCCACCAGCTACCCTGCAGAATACAAAGTACTTCAAACAAGCTGCACCTTCACCAGCTTTGAGAACACTTTCATGATCAATCATTATAAAACATATCATATATATTATTCTGAAATGGACCAATCTGCACAACGACTACTTTTACTGTCTTTCACTATATTTAGATGAGAATACTTTTCTACTTTCACTTGAGGAACATTTTGAATGCAGGACTTTTGGTACTCAAGTACCTGACCTGAGTACTTCTGCTGTAACTCAAGTACCTGACCTGAGTACTTCTGCTGTAACTCAAGTACCTGACCTGAGTACTTCTGCTGTAACTCAAGTACCTGACCTGAGTACTTCTGCTGTAACTCAAGTACCTGACCTGAGTACTTCTGCTGTAACTCAAGTACCTGACCTGAGTACTTCTGCTGTAACTCAAGTACCTGACCTGAGTACTTCTGCTGTAACTCAAGTACCTGACCTGAGTACTTCTGCTGTAACTCAAGTATCTGACCTGAGTACTTCTGCTGTAACTCAAGTACCTGACCTGAGTACTTCTGCTGTAACTCAAGTACCTGACCTGAGTACTTCTGCTGTAACTCAAGTACCTGACCTGAGTACTTCTGCTGTAACTCAAGTACCTGACCTGAGTACTTCTGCTGTAACTCAAGTACCTGACCTGAGTACTTGTCCCTCCTCTGAATGAAGATGGCGGATGAAGGCAGGCGAGGCGAGGAAGATGGCGGCCCCGGAGCGGTTCACCAGGTCTTCGTGGTGATGGAGTCTCTGCTGGAGAAGTTAAAGGTGTTGAACTATGAGGAGGAGATCCTGGCCAAACACAACATGAAGAATCTGTCCCGGTGAGAAACTACTGCACACCTATTATTATTATACTTTATTTATTTCATAAATACTGCTGCTTCCTTCTTCCCGAATGTTTACTTTTGTAAATAGTAATAATGAATGAGCATGCCCTTTATCTGATAGTGTTTTATTTTCTGTCTCTTTGCTGTAACAAAGTAATGTTCCCTTCTGAAGACGACCCAAACGGGTCCAGAGTCATTAAGATCCAGAGTCATTAAAATCCAGTCATTAAGATCCAGAGTTATTAAGATCCAGAGTTATTAAGATCCAGAGTCATTAACATCCAGAGTCATTAAGATCCAGAGTCATTAAAATCCAGAGTCATTAAGATCCAGAGTCATTAAGATCCAGAGTCATTAAGATCCAGAGTCATTAAGATCCAGAGTTATTAAGATCCAGAGTCATTAAGATCCAGAGTCATTAAGATCCAGAGTTATTAAGATCCAGAGTCATTAAGATCCAGAGTCATTAAGATCCAGAGTCATTAAGATCCAGAGTCATTAAGATCCAGAGTTATTAAGATCCAGAGTCATTAAGATCCAGAGTTATTAAGATCCAGAGTCATTAAGATCCAGAGTTATTAAGATCCAGAGTTATTAAGATCCAGAGTTATTAAGATCCAGAGTCATTAAAATCCAGAGTCATTAAGATCCAGAGTCATTAAGATCCAGAGTCATTAAGATCCAGAGTCATTAAGATCCAGAGTTATTAAGATCCAGAGTTATTAAGATCCAGAGTTATTAAGATCCAGAGTCATTAAGATCCAGAGTCATTAAGATCCAGAGTTATTAAGATCCAGAGTCATTATCCAGAGTCATTAAGATCCAGAGTTATTAAGATCCAGAGTTATTAAGATCCAGAGTCATTAAGATCCAGAGTTATTAAGATCCAGAGTTATTAAGATCCAGAGTCATTAAGATCCAGAGTTATTAAGATCCAGAGTCATTAAGATCCAGAGTTATTAAGATCCAGAGTCATTAAGATCCAGAGTCATTAAGATCCAGAGTCATTAAGATCCAGAGTCATTAAGATCCAGAGTTATTAAGATCCAGAGTCATTAAGATCCAGAGTTATTAAGATCCAGAGTCATTAAGATCCAGAGTTATTAAGATCCAGAGTCATTAAGATCCAGAGTTATTAAGATCCAGAGTCATTAAGATCCAGAGTCATTAAGATCCAGAGTCATTAAGATCCAGAGTTATTAAGATCCAGAGTCATTAAGATCCAGAGTTATTAAGATCCAGAGTCATTAAGATCCAGAGTCATTAAGATCCAGAGTCATTAAGATCCAGAGTTATTAAGATCCAGAGTTATTAAGATCCAGAGTCATTAAGATCCAGAGTCATTAAGATCCAGAGTCATTAAGATCCAGAGTCATTAAGATCCAGAGTCATTAAGATCCAGAGTCATTAAGATCCAGAGTCATTAAGATCCAGAGTTATTAAGATCCAGAGTCACTAAGATCCAGAGTCATTAAGATCCAGAGTCATTAAGATCCAGAGTTATTAAGACCCAGAGTCATTAAGATCCAGAGTTATTAAGATCCAGAGTCATTAAGATCCAGAGTCATTAAGATCCAGAGTTATTAAGATCCAGAGTCATTAAGATCCAGAGTCATTAAGATCCAGAGTCATTAAGATCCAGAGTCATTAAGATCCAGAGTCATTAAGATCCAGACTCATTAAGATCCAGAGTCATTAAGATCCAGAGTTACTAACAGCTGATGAGGAAACCTCCCCTCTCTGTTTCAGACACTACTTTGTCTCCAGCCCGTTTCTGGCGGTGAACCCGGGCGAGCAGTTCTTCCTGTTCACCGTCATCGCTGCCTGGCTCATCAACGAGGCGGGGCGGCCCTTCACGGCGCCGCAGGAGCACGACGAGCCGAACGCCACCGTGTCCAACATCCTGTCCGAGCTGCGGGCCTTCGTGAGTCACAGCTTCCTGTCGTTGCTGTCCCGAGAGAGAGGGAGAGGTTTTAGAGCAAAGTCACATCACTATGTGTCTAGAGCATTTCTCTATCTGCTCTGGACACATGGAGAGACCACTGCAGCATAATCAGTTTCTCTGGTGTCCGTATTTATAGGAATGTGTTTCAGTCAAATGACATATTTATTTTATTCTATAAACTCATGTCTCTGTGTTGGTCAACAGAAAGGGGAAAGGCTGCCACACACACACACCAGGGTTTCCGCTAGGATCTTTTCTCGCCGGTCAAATGTCCGGACAGAATTTATTTTACCAGACAAATTTGAAACTTACCGGTCATGGTTCAATAATAAGAATAAGAATTGTGTAGCAGAGTTTCTGTTAGCAGGTAATCACCGGACTATGACCGGATATGCTGATGTTTAAAACTCAGTTAATGGGAGTCATTTTTATATTGCTTCAGTTTATAATCGTAACAGATCGAAAAATTCAGATTCATTTTTCAATAAATGATTCAACAAACATCATTATTACATTCAAACAAAATACTTGTTTGAAGTACATTATTCAAAAGTTTACATTAACTTTGAACACGGGAGAAACGGATCCTCTCTCTCTCTCTCTCCTGCCAGCCCGTCAGTTTCTCATGCAGCGCGCTAAACAGTGAGCGGGGCTTCAGGTGATTATGCAGCAGCTGATCTGATCTCTCTCGCGTCCGGTTAAACTTCACTCACGTTTATGTCCATATCGATCAGATCCAGCTCTCCTGATCGGCCTTTATAGAGAGCACCGATCAAACTATTAAGAGTGAATATCGGCCGATCGATCAGAGCATCCCTAATTATTAGCGGACATTTTGACCGGCAGGTTTTGAATTTACCGGTTTTTATTACATTTTAACAGCTAAAAACCGGCTAACGGAAACCCTGACGTAGAGATGAGATTAAAGAAACATGTGGACACACAGACACTCCTCTGACACCTCCCATCAGAGAGCCTGAGCTTCCTGTAGAGCAGATATCCTTGCAGACACTCTTTCAGATGAAATGTCTCTCTGACTCCTCTCTGACTCCTCGCTCCTCTCTGACTCCTCTCTGACTCCTCTCTGACTCCTCGCTCCTCTCTGACTCCTCTCTGACTCCTCGCTCCTCTCTGACTCCTCTCTGACTCCTCTCTGACTCCTCGCTCCTCTCTGACTCCTCTCTGACTCCTCGCTGCTCTCTGACTCCTCTCTGACTCCTCGCTCCTCTCTGACTCCTCTCTGACTCCTCTCTCCTCTCTGACTCCTCTCTGACTCCTCTCTGACTCCTCGCTCCTCTCTGACTCCTCTCTGACTCCTCGCTCCTCTCTGACTCCTCTCTGACTCCTCTCTGACTCCTCTCTGACTCCTCGCTCCTCTCTGACTCCTCTCTGACTCCTCGCTGCTCTCTGACTCCTCTCTGACTCCTCGCTGCTCTCTGACTCCTCTCTGACTCCTCTCTCCTCTCTGACTCCTCTCTGACTCCTCGCTGCTCTCTGACTCCTCTCTGACTCCTCTCTCCTCTCTGACTCCTCTCTGACTCCTCGCTGCTCTCTGACTCCTCTCTGACTCCTCTCTGACTCCTCGCTCCTCTCTGACTCCTCTCTGACTCCTCTCTGACTCCTCTCTGACTCCTCGCTGCTCTCTGACTCCTCTCTGACTCCTCTCTCCTCTCTGACTCCTCTCTGACTCCTCGCTGCTCTCTGACTCCTCTCTGACTCCTCTCTCCTCTCTGACTCCTCTCTGACTCCTCGCTGCTCTCTGACTCCTCTCTGACTCCTCTCTGACTCCTCGCTCCTCTCTGACTCCTCTCTGACTCCTCTCTGACTCCTCGCTCCTCTCTGACTCCTCTCTGACTCCTCTCTGACTCCTCGCTGCTCTCTGACTCCTCTCTGACTCCTCGCTCCTCTCTGCTGTTCAGACTCTGAGATGTGAGAGTGTCTGTGCCTGACGTCCCTCCTCTGTCCTCCATCAGGGTGTGAAGGTGGACTTCCCGCCCTCCAAACTGAAGTCCGGGTCAGGAGAGTTCGTGTGCTTGGTGTTGGACCGCCTGGCCGAGGAGGCTCTGAAGAGGAAGGGCTTCTCCTTCAGGAGGTACTCACACACGTCTCCTCTGAAATACTCACATCCTTCCTCTCTCACTGGACGAGCTGTCAGATTCTTAAAGTACAACTCGTGGAAATAAGGAGAGCTGGTCACCTGTGGCAGATATCAAAACACAACCTGCTGTATCGAAAGCGGTTCCACAACCCGTTGTGCAAACCGTGATTTAATTTGGATGCTTCCCCTTTTTTAAAGATGCACGATGAGGATGTTACAGACAGAGAAGTTCGCTGTGAGGAGAGGACATTAGTTTCATCTGATCCAGGGTCTGTTCACCTGAGCAGGGTTAGCTCACAGGCTTGCACTGCCCTCTTGTGGTCAAATCCTGAAGTTGCCGTGGCTTCCTTCACAAGGACATTTCCAACGTTTTATCTTTCAAGTTATCCATTTGTTTCCCTTGATGCTTAGACCGGCTGCACACTTTCTCTCTGCCTGCAGGTGAACAGATTTACTGAGCTGTGGTGGGATTCTCCAGACACGGCCACATCTCATAGAGTTAACAAACGGCTGATCCCCAGTCAGTCTATCACCAAGAGACAAAGCTTGCTTGACGGTTATCACCCCTTTAGTTTGTCCCTCACTCTGTCATTAAGCCTCTGCTACCAAACATCCCTTCTGCTTTTGGATAGAGTTCATGAACACTGGGTTAGATCAGTGCTTCTCAAAGTGTGGTCCGCGGACCACTGGTGGTCCGTGAGTATATTGGTAAAATTTCACATTTGAAATAAATTAATCTATTTAAGTTTTCCGCACTCTCGCGGGAATATCTCCGCAATGGAACGAGCTTAAGTTTCACTTTCAATTGCATGATATAGCCCAGCGCAACACCTCACACATGTTGCCACTTGTACCACTTTGTACCATTTTCAGGCGATTTGTAATCTGTTCTAGAAAAACGATGTGTTTTTTAAAATATTTGTGGAGTTAGGTGGTCCGCGAGTGTTTTTTAATTGGTTAAGTGGTCCTTGGTATGAAAAAGTTTGAGAAACACTGGGTTAGATGCACATCAGAAGAACAAGAGGACAATGAGGTTTCGAGGCAAGGCAAGTTTATTTATATAGCACTCTTCAGCACGCGACAATTCAAAGTGCTTTACAAAATAAATTAAAGACTTTTTAGGAATAAATACAGTAAAAAAACATTATATAATGTATACGGTTCCGTTATTGCAAATGTCTACCACCCCCTGTAACCCAATAGGATCTGGGCTTCCCACAACTCAATGAACAAGATCTACTGAGGTATTGAAGTTTAAAAACGCTGCTCTCATTGACATTATTTAAGACTTTGAAGCAACGTGTGATGCAGCCAGGAGAATGAGACTAGCAGGACATCGCCAAAGGCATCAAGAGCTGCCAGCCGGCAAATTGGTGCTCTGGGAACCAACACACGGGCATCGGTCACGAGGACGTCCCGCACCAACATACGTGGACGTACTCAAGAACGACGCAGGAGCACAAAGTACCAATGAACTGGCCAGATGTATGGAGAACCGGGATGACTGGAAGCGACGATGGAGGGTCTGAGGACGACCTAGAGAGATGCTGTTAGCTCTGTTGATTTACTGTTAGTTAAAGAAGGACTTAGTATCATTTAAAGTCTGTTGTCCTCTAGAGGAGGCTCTGTGGAGTCTTGTTTGATGCAATGGTTAGTGCAGAAAATAGCATCATCACAATAGCAATATCAGTGAAAATAATGGCAACGAGTTAGTTATTATTATTCGTAATATTCCTGCATGCAATAAACAAAAAGGGACCCATCAAACAGCTCCAAAGTGCTTTCATCTGCAGGATCTGCACCATCTAATGTCCGCTGTATATTCTCATGTCTTTCCACTTCCTGTCCCTTCTCTCTCTCTCTCCCTTCAGACCAGACTACCCAGCAGAAACCACAGAAGAAGAGTCGGTGGTCGAGGACGACGCAGAGCTCACGCTCAGCAAAGTGGAGGAGGAGATGATCGTAGGTGTCTCTGGTTTAATCACCTAGCAACATGCAGCGCTCTTTGAAACCAACTCCCCTGTTTTATTATGAGTAAGGCTGTGCGTTAGCATCAAGAGGAACGAGCTGCCAGATTCTTAAAGTGCAACTCGTGGAAATAAGGAGAGCTGGTCACCTGTGGCAGATATCAATTTAATGTAATCTGGATGCTTTTCCCTTTTTTAAAGATGCACAATGAGGATGTTACAGACTGAGGACAGCAGGGGGTCCGCGGGGTCTTAAAGTATTAAACAGTGTTACATGTTATAGCTTGTTTTCAATAAGTATATGAATGGTCCAAAGAGGTATTCTACAGTCTGCCTGAATGTAATCATGGCGTAAGTGTGTAGTGTGGTTCTGTGTAGTTTATTGATGGCATCCCGTTGGGTTTGACGTCATCTGAACAGGACATCGCACGCTCACTACTTGATAGCGCGGAGGTCCGTTTACGCCGGTTGCTAAACATCGTTATGGGGAAATGCAAGTCTGCGTCCAAATGGTTGGAAGATAAGGAGGAAGGACAATCAATACTGTATATAGTCAATGTGAGGTAAAGTGTGTCGCCAAGGTAACCGGTGAGAACTCCAAGTGGCGATGAGGTCTTAAAATGTCTGGGGAGGGTCTTAAAAAAGGTCTTAAGAGGTTTTACATGTGACTTCAGGGTTCCTGCATACACCCTGGAGAGGAAATTAGTTTCATTTGATCCAGGGTTTTCCTCAGTGTGACTAACGGCCCGTCCACACAGCGGCGTGCGTTGAAGCTTCACCATTCACTTTGAATGGGGTGACGTCACTTTACACCGAACTGCATTGTGGGAAGCGACGCGGAGCATTGCTGTCGTGGCTCGCTGCAAAAGTTGAGCAATGTTCAACTTTTGAAGCCTCGGCAGAAGGGTCAGCCAATCGAATCATATGCCAGTACAAGCTCTAGCCAATCAAACCGCTGCTTGTGTGTCAGGGGCGGGAGATTCATGTGATTGGTTGTTGGTCGAGTTTCAGACACGCCTGCCGGCAAGCTTCAACGCACACCGCCGTGTGGACGCTGCGTTACAGTTAGTTCTCCTGGCCAGGATGAACTCTTAGACCTGCACATACTGCCCTCTTGTGGTCAAAGACTGAAGTTGTCGTGGCTTCCTTCACTGGCTTTCTAAAGAGGACATTTACAACTTTTGACCTTTCAAGTTATACATTTTCTTCTGTCGTTAATCAATTCAAATTAGGTGTAAAACTGAACCAAAAGAATATTTTAATCTGGTGTGATCATTTAGAAAGTCTATAAATCTAAGTATTGATTGTGTTGTTGGATCACTGTTGTGAAGTTGTGAAGTCAATGTGTTGTGTGTTTGGTCCCAGGAGGAGCCTGACGACGAGGAGGAGAACGTGATGGACCTCGAGGCTCTGAAGTTACGCACCTGTCCCACGGTGAGTTCACCTGGAGACGCATTCAAGGACTCCTTCAGGGCTGTAAATGTGAGTTCTGATGAACCACAGTGGTGTTGTGTTTGTCCTCTGACAGGATACAGAAGCCTCCTCCAAACCAGAGGAGATCCTGGAGGCCACGGTGGACGCAGCGGAGTGGAGCCTGGAGGTGGAGAGAGTCCTGCCGCAGCTCAAAGTCACCGTCAGGACCGACAACAAGGTACCACTCACCTGAGAGCATCGCACAGGTGACTGTCTGAGCCAGACTCACTGTGTGTGTGTGTGTGTGTGTGTGTGTGTGTGTGTGTGTGTGTGTGTGTTGTGTGTGTGTGTGTGTGTGTGTGTGTGTGTGTGTGTGTGTGTGTGTGTGTGTGTGTGTGTGTGTGTGTGTGTTGTGTGTGTGTGTGTGTGTGTGTGTGTGTGTGTGTGTGTGTGTGTGTGTGTGTGTGTGTGTGTGTGTGTGTGTGTGTGTGTGTAGGACTGGAGGATCCACGTGGAGCAGATGCATCAACACAGAGACGGGATCAAGTCCTCGCTCAAAGAAGCCACGGTGCGTTCAATGACCTGCTGCAATAATACGAGTATTTTTAACTGTCTGTGGCTCCGCCTGCTGTTCATCATTTTAATTTCTGAC